GTGTCCGAGTTGTGAACCAAACCCCCGAGTGAAAATAAACAACCCAAGATGATTATGCAACTGATAATTATGATTATAATGAACAAGATTGATTAGAAAACACATGCCCCATATGCCTGAAGGCGTGGGGAAGGGTTATTTACTTTTACTTTAATTCCAAAACAGAATTCACATGGCTACATCACCAAGATTGTTTGTCCGTTTACCCAGCTGTTCTCCTCCTGGTTCTCCACCTATGGGTCGCAACCCTTTTCTGAGGTCAAACGACCCTTTCACATGGGTCGCCAAAGACCATCAGAAAACGCATACTCACTGAAGGTGTGAAGTAGCAACGAAAATAATTCTATGTTTGGGGGTGGCCACCGAGAAACTGTATTCAAGGGTGGCAGCAGTAGGAAGGTTGAGAACCACTGGTTTACTCTATAGTTTGGGGGAAAAGGGCGGGAAGCTCCGCCTCCTCTCCCACCAACACATGTTTTCTAGGTGTCACCCCTACTTTATATTTACTTTATTTTCAGCATTACGTTGTTGTTTTGCGATTCCTTTCTTGTAGTTTTGGTGTTTGATGTTTTCATTTAATTGTCTTCTTGTTACAGTCGTCGTTTTGTGTATTTTTCTAAAGGTATTGTTTCTGTTTTAGCTTGTCGTTTATTTACTGCCAGTAACTGCTGCACAACGAATGTCTATCATTAAAAGTTACGCATCTTCGCTTGCTGCGTAGTAAGTGTCGATAACTGCAAATGACGTGGCTACAGTTGCTTACATTGCCAAGAAGAAACTGTAATATAGATGTGGCATTTTGTACTTTTTTTGTTAAACATAATTATTTTATTTTAGATTTAGCACTTTTTTGAATCTACTCATTATTGTCATATAGTCTTGACCTTGAAAGCTTTTCGAAAGAATGGGAAAATCTGTTTATATACCATGTCCATTCTTCAAACTTTCAGTGTGGATATCTGCAGCTTTGAATGTGCCATTTCCAGTTTTCTCCCGTTTATTCTTGAGAGACAGACAAGTAATCAGTAAATAGTAGTTACAACTTCATAACCACCGGATCACCCCACAGTTGCCCCGCTCCCATGTCAACGAAAACAAACCACATCGAACGTCTATCACTGTCCCTTCGCAAGCCATTAGCATACGTGGTTCCGGCTATCTTCCGAATAACGGTCCCAAATTATCGGGGCAGAAAATATACCCTAACAGAGCCTCAGTCACAAGTCAATTGCGCACTTCCGGGGACTAGACCGCCACCGCCGAATTGCCTACTTCCGGGGGACTATACCGCCGAGAGTATCCCTCACGCGGCTTGGATTGGGAGCTAAACTGGATGGCTGGGACTCATGAGCAAATAAAATGAAGGCAGCAGCAGGAAATGCGGTAGCTGCTGCTCGTGAGTCCTAGCCAACTAGATTAGCTCCAATCCACGCCGCGTGAGCGGCGTGTGGGATACAATCGGCGGTGGCGCAAGTCGCCCGAAGTGAGCAATTTAAGTTGCCAGAAGTGTGCAATTGACACGTGGCTGAGGCTCTATTAGGGTATATTTTCTGCCTCGAAAATTTGGGACCGTTATTCAGAAGATAGCCCGTGGTTTCTTTTATCCACTACTTTAGACGTATTGGGAATATAGGGCTAGACGATGGGTCTTTAAAATTATTGGCCATTAGCAGGCACAGGTATTAAACGCAAAAGACAGCCGTCAACAGTGCCAACACATACAGTCGGACACTAGAAATGTACTTCATCGTCAATGAGAGCAGTAGTTACAACAAACCAATAGTTGCACACGCAATTGATGGACAGTGTCGGATCTTTTGGCCAACCCTTCCCCTGACGCTGTCAGTGTGACTTTAGTCAAGACAAAGTGGGTGTCTGCTGTTGTCAAGCTACCCTGTTTGTATTTGTGAGTGTTTGTGTGTGTGACCGTGCATGCGTGACTTTGCGAACATGCATGCTGCCTAACACCTTTTGAGTGTTCTATTGTTTTCCCCAGTTACTACTATCTGTGGAAGTTTTCCGCATGTTTTTTGTTCCTCTGTTTTCTCGCAAATTTGGTGTCAGCATTTGGTAACATTGTTTTTTTTGTGTGTGGGTGTTAATTACTTCTGCATCGTCATCATCATCATTAGTCCATTGATTAGCCCTACCCTGCCCGGACTCAAGTTCACTTTATAACCCTACGAGGGCCCACATATAAGATTTTATGTTTAAACAGTGGATCAACATCATGGCACAAGGGTAGTAACCCATAACTGCTCCGTTATACTTCTAACTCAAGCATGAGTCCGAAGAATCTCCGCGCTGTGCACAAACTCCTTAGCACCGGCGAGGATCCTGAAATACTTTTGGTAGATTGTTCACTCCAAATTTGGAGCACCTATAAGCTACTCTTTTCGATTTCCAACCGGCAATATATTTAATTTTTGTACATGAGCAACAATACACACGGGCGTTCGATCTTACTACCCAGAGACTTGGGGGGGGGGGGGGGAACTAACGAAAAGCCCACGTGAAAAAAAAATCACATCCTTCACCGAGGCCTGAACCCGGGACGTCCAGCACTCGAGACGGACGCCATGCCTCGAAACCACTCAACTTCACTCAGCATTAGCATCATCATTATCATTACCACCACCATCATCATCATTACCACCACCATCATCATCATTACCACCACCATCATTATCATTACCACCACCATCATTATCATTACCACCAACATCATTATCATTACCACCACCATCATTATCATTACCACCATCATCATTATCATTACCACCATCATCATTATCATTACCACCAACATCATTATCATTACCACCAACATCATTATCATTACCACCATCATCATTATCATTACCACCATCATCATTATCATTACCACCATCATCATTATCATTACCACCAACATCATTATCATAACCACCACCATCATTATCATTACCACCATCATCATTATCATTACCACCATCATTATTATTATTACCACCAACATCATTATCATTACCACCAACATCATTATCATTACCACCACCATCATTATCATTACCACCATCATCATTATCATTACCACCATCATCATTATCATTACCACCAACATCATTATCATTACCACCACCATCATTATCATTACCACCATCATCATTATTACCACCATCATCATTATCATTACCACCATCATCATTATCATTACCACCATCATCATTATCATTACCACCATCATCATTATCATTACCATCATCATCATTATCATTACCACCATCATCATCATCATTACCACCATCATCATTATCATTACCACCATCATCATCATTACCACCATCATCATTATCATTACCACCATCATCATCATCATTACCACCATCATCATTATCATTACCACCATCATCATTATCATTACCACCATCATCATTATCATTACCACCATCATCATTATCATTACCACCACCATCATTATCATTACCACCATCATCATTATCATTACCACCATCATCATTATCATTACCACCATCATCATTATCATTACCACCATCATCATTATCATTACCACCACCATCATTATCATTACCACCACCATCATCATCATTACCACCACTATCATTATCATTACCACCACCATCATTATCATTACCACCACCATCATTATCATTACCACCACCATCATTATCATTACCACAACCATCATTATCATTACCACCACCATCATCATCATTACCACCACCATCATTATCATTACCACCACCATCATTATCATTACCACCACCATCATCATCATTACCACCACCATCATTATCATTACCACCACCATCATTATCATTACCACCACCATCATTATCATTACCACCACCATCAATATCATTACCACCACCATCATTATCATTACCACCACCATCATTATCATTACCACCACCATCATTATCATTACCACCACCATCATATTATACATTTACAAATTCCAGAAACTATATGGTGATACCACTCCCTGACTGAGCCACCAGGTAAGCAGATGGTAATTTTCTACATTCAGAGAATTCAGATCGCGGGAGAAAATCTCTGCCATACCTGTTGTCATGGTAACGGATGCCTAAAGCATGATCAAAAAGGTGAAGTCCGTCCCCCCCCAATCCCCCTATGGAATGAGTTACATCAGTCCAGAGGTCACAGCTGGTGGGTGTCACATGAATATTTTACCTGCGATCTGTATGCGTGTTGGGCAATTAACAGATGGATAGATTGGCTGGACTGGTCCCACTTGGAAATGCACTTCAACTTCATGACGTAGAGAGGATCTTCCGCCTGTGAGGCGAGATAACGATTAAAGTTATCATCGATCAAGTGCAGTCTTCAGACTGAAGGTTGGCGGCAATGGATCTCTAACATGTTCTGTCTCTTGTCTTGGTTGTACACACTCTCAGATTGCTGTTCGTCCACCTCTTGATGTTGTCTTCCCACTTGTATTGTTACCTACCTCTTGCTCTCTTGGACTTTTCCCTCTAACTATTAAAATAGAAGATAAGAAAGCCAGTACCTCGAAAGAATGTTTAAGCTAAGAGTGTCTGCGGTCTCTAGGCGAAACTGGGGCGGCGGGGGTGGGTGGCAGGGCGTATAGTTGACCAATCGACAGTGGGTACAATCAGTACCCAGATGCTTCGCTGGCTGTTGCCTAGGGAGACGGGGCTAATATGGGCGTGTCCTGAAACTGTGATGTCCAATCTTTAAGTAGATGACAAATATTCAGTATAGGGTAATGTCCCCATATTTTCATTAGTCAACTAGTGCTCCATTATTTATGCTGTCGATTTAATACCGGTCTCCTTTACTTCCCAGACCATTCCTTGGTACCATTTTAGATTACGTTGTCACCTCAGTGGTGTTTGATGTTCTGTGACAGTTTGTCTGTACCACGCAAGAGTTACATACAAGAAAACAGGCACACGTTTTTATCACTGCTATGTGATATTGTTTCTGACCTTTCTATTTCCCTATACATCTCACAGGTATGTGTTCACCATTGCAAGCTACCTGATAGGTGTCTTCGTGTTTGCAACCATTGTCGGTGAGTTGTAACATTAAAACAATCCATTGTCGGTGAGTTGTAACATTAAAACAATCCATTGTCGGTGAGTTGTAACATTAAAACAATCTATTGTCGGTGAGTTGTAACATTAAAACAATCCATTGTCGGTGAGTTGTAACATGAAAACAATCCATTGTCGGTGAGTTGTACCATTAAAACAATCCATTGTCGGTGAGTTGTAAAATTAAAACAATCCATTGTCGGTGAGTTGTAACATTAAAACAATCCATTGTCGGTGAGTTGTAAAATTTAAAAAATCCATTGTCGGTGAGTTGTAAAATTAAAACAATCCATTGTCGGTGAGTTGTAACATTAAAACAATCCATTGTCGGTGAGTTGTAAAATTTAAAAAATCCATTATCGGTGAGTTGTAACATTAAAACAGTCCATTGTCGGTGAGTTGTAGCATTAAAACAATCCATTGTCGGTGAGTTGTAGCATTAAAACAATCCATTGTCGGTGAGTTGTAACATTTAAACAATCCATTGTCGGTGAGTTAAAAGGTTAAACGTTGAAACAGTTCACTGTTGGGAAGTTCTAACGTTAAAACAACCACTGTCGATGAGTTGAAACGTACAAACAATCCACTGTCTGTAATGTGTAACGTTTAAACAATTATTGAGTTGAAACAATAATTTGCCAGTGACCTAACGTTAAAACATTACACTGTCGGTGAGTTCAAACGTTAAAACAATCCATTGTGGGTGAGTTAAAACGTTTAAACATTACACTCTCTGTGAGTTCAAACGTTAGAACAATTTATTGTGGGTGAGTTGAAACGTTAAAACAGTGCACTGTCGGCGAGTTCAAACGTTAGAACAATTTATTGTGGGTGAGTTAAAACGTTAAGACAGTACACTGTCGGTGAGTTCAAACGTTAGAACAATTGACTGAGGGTGAGTTTAAACATGATACTGTCGGTGAGTTCAAACGGTCGAACAATTTATTGTGGGTGAGTTAAAACGTTAAAACAGTACACTGTCGGTGAGTTCAAACGTTAGAACAATTTATTGTGGGTAAGTTGAAACGTTAAAACAGTACACTGTCGGAGAGTTCAAACGTTAGAACAATCCATTGTGGGTGAGTTCAAACGTTAAAACAGTACACCCTCGGTCAGTTGGATTGTGCTTAGCCCCTTCTCCCCTGACCCTCTCCAAATGTAGGAGGGGGGGGGGGAAGGGCGAGGGGTTCAAAATGACTGAGCCAGTCTTCCATATTCAGACGTAAAGCTGAAGTTAGCAAGAGGCAGGAGGAGACCAAAAAATAGATAAAACAGATTGGTGTCAGTGTTCGGAAGAATCTGTCTCAAAACTGATTGACAGTTTAAAGACGAGCAGCACACCAGACTCACTTCTAATAAATCGACGAAACCTAATTCCCTGCAGGTAAAGCTGTCTGCTTTGTTCTGTGCCGCCGTATCTGGAATGTTTGACGCCCCTGTGCAGTCACTTATTTTACGCCCCGTAGCCAAACTTCAGCATAGCTACTGCCGTAGTATTTTAATGCCAGAACGCTAATCAAATGAAATCAGGTGTATTGAGCATAAAAGGAGGAACCTATTTTTTATAAGCAATCAGAACTCGGGAGTTATATGGTCAACGGCACACTGATCGCCTTTACTTCCCAGGATTTTATCTAGTACCAATGCCCAGCTCTCTAGTGTAGTTGGCTAAACCGGATTGCGCGGTGACCGGTTGACGAACTGCTTGTGGTCCGGGTTAACTCCCAGGGGTAGGCAAAAAAGCCACATTTCTCCCAGATTTACGGTATTTATCATAGAATCAAGGCCGAAAGGTTGCGATATCTATAATACCCAGCCTAAGGGTTAACAACTCATGGCTTCTGGATACGAAAACAAACATCTGGTACCTATTTAAATCTTTATCGACCTGAGAACAAAAGTCACATAAAAAAGAAAAAAAAATCCTGCTTTTTAAAAGACCTGAACCCACGACCTTCTGACCCACAGGCCAGCGTGTAGCCGCTACATCACGGTTGCTCCCATAATGATACAAGCAGTATGAAAAAACAAAAACATGTTATAAATACTAGTTATATTGTGCCGCCCTGACAGTTGTGCCACCCTGAAAACGTTGCCGCCCTGTGCAGCCTCACATGTTGCACATGCCCAAATCTGGCCCTGATTTCTGGTTTCATTGTTTCATGATTTCTGGTTTCATTGTTTCATGATTTCTGGTTTTATTGTTAGATGATCGATGTTTGTGTCTGCTGGACAGGTCAAGTTGGCAACGTCATCAACAACAGGAATGCCAGTAGGATCGAGTTCGAAAGACTGCTGGTAAATTGCCATTGTATTTGTTGCTTCTGTTTATTTGTTAGGACAAAAAAGATACAATCATCATCATCATCATCATCATCATATTCATCATCATCATCATCACCACCACCATCATCATCATCACTATCATCATCATCATTATCATCATCACGATCATCATCATCATCATCATCATCATCATCACCATCATCATCACCATCATCACGATCATTATCATCATTATTATTATCATCTTCATCATCATCATCATAATCATGATCATCATAATAATTGTTGTCGTCGTCGTCAGCATCATCGTCACCATCGTCATCGTCGTCTTTATCGTCGTCATCATCATTATCATTTTAATCATTATCACCACCATCGTTATCATCATCATCATTATAATCATTATCACCACCATTATCATCATCATCGTCGTCGTTATCATCATCACCTTCACCATCATCATCATCGTCGTCGTCATCATTATCATCATCATCATCATCATCATCATCATCAGAAACCACTCCCTGAATACCAAAAAAGTGTAAATACATATGTCTGGACGAGAGGACAACAGCAACAACAAAACAATATGATCACTCCAATAACCAAACAACCTGGGGTGAGCTGTTTGAACTCTTTGAGTTCAAACCCACCCACAGATATACACTCTATGGAAGAAACGTATCATTTGTAAGCAGTTATTCTCTATGTATAATAAACAGCACTAAGCATGTTCATGCGAACGCTTCGTAATGCCGGGATGCCGGGGTCGATCCCAGCTGCAGGCCATACGCCTTGCGTTGGTGTCGACAGTGGTATCAAGAAAGCCGACCGTCCAGGGGCAAAGGCAAACTACTGGACGTATATTGCCTAGAGAAACCACACAACAGCCAGGGGCTGTAGGGGTTGGTTCTGCAACGTCCTGTAAAAGATACGCAACTAACCAAGAATGTTAATATATTCTTAACGCGAGGTGTGAATATTGAAAGGTATGCAGATGCTTTGTTGGAAGAAAAACATAGTCAAATTCAACCAGCATTCCCGAAGGGAAACTTTTAGGTTATAATTGTGACCGAGTTATATGCTCCATTTAAAATGGTTTAGCACTGCACTCCACCAAGAGCTTTGAAAAGGACTCCTGCAGTGTTTACTCGATCAAACGAGACAGATCCGAAGTCGTCTACAGACCAGCCAATTTGCTTTTTTAGCATGCACTACTGGTGTCTGTTCCACAGTTACTGTTTTTAGCTGTAGCAAATTTTTTCTTCTGACAAACGGTGGCTGTTGCATTTTGCTCTATTTGCAGGCTGAAAGGATTTAATTTTATTGTCCAGCAACTGAGCTGACTCCATGGTGCGACACTGTGAGCTGTGGATTTCATTTAGAAATATTTTCGTTGTGACCAATGTGGTGTTGTCAAATGTAGATTCAGAAAATGGCGAGTGGTCTGTTGCCACAGAATTTGTGGTGCCTTATATAGTTGAAACTAATTTGTTTGTAATTGCCGCTTCCGTCGATGATGAACTGCATCTAATGGCGAACTGTTTGCGTTAGCACCTCTGATGCCTACCTTATGCTTCTATTTAGTGAGTATACTAGTGGATATACTTAGACTGCAGTCTGTATCCATGTTTCCATAAGGGTCAGTGATGGACATTCTGTGTGTTTTTTGTTGGTACACGAGAAGGGCACCAAGGTATGGGATGACCTGTTTGCTATGAAGCTGAAACTAAGATGACTAGATTACTAATGTCTGTTCCATCCTTTGAACTAAAACACTCGTGTTTTTTTCATTGTTCGTTTTGCCTTCTTGAATATTTGCTGGTGAACCTTCTGGGACTGAAAAGATGGACGTTCCAGACTATAGTGTTAGGTAGTAAAAGAGTTAAGAGGTTTAACTGCTTGACCTTGGCATTACGTAAGTAATATAGGTTTGTCTCTTGAACTGTTTAGTTTGATTCACGAGCTCAGTTTTTACAGAAATCCACAAGTCCGTCGCTGGTTCTATGGTGCTCGGGCATTGTGCAACACTCTTGACAGGGTGCTTGTCATTTTGCAGAGAGAGACTTTTTAATTTAAATTTTAACATCTCGTTAAACTGCAAGAAAATCAAATACCATCACATCCACTTCATCTCAGTAGATCAGCTACAAAAGCAAGAGGACGGCCGTGAAATAATAGATCGACAACATTAAAAAATACTTAACGTCTTTACGGCATGACAATAGCCAGTAGCAGCCAGTGTGCACTGGATCGCAAATTATTTTTCCTTACGACGCTTAAACGCAGAAGTAGTTTATGATGATGATGATGGTTTTAATATTTTCTATTCTTATTATAAATTCCATTGTTTCCCCACCCACCGCATACAAGGATGGCGCAAAGGTCTACATGCAAACCCACAATGTCCCACACAACCTGCAGAAGCGAGTACAGCGCTGGTACGACTACGTGTGGTCCAGAGGTAGACTCAACGGCTGCGACATCAACTCCCTGGGTTTGCTACCCGACAAGTTAAAGACTGAACTTGCCATTCATGTTAATCTAGAAACACTGAGAAAGGTATTGTCTGATTTTTTATACTGTGTTCATTATCTTTATCTGCGACTCCCTCCCCCTCTCTATTATCTCTCTCTCTCCCCCTCTCTATTATCTCTCTCTCTCTCCCCCTCTTAGTGTCTCTTAATTTTCCCATTGCTACCTCCTTTCCTCCTCCTCTCTCACTGTCTCTAAATGTCTGTTCCCACTGTTGCCTTCTTTCCTCTCTCTCTCTCTCTCTCTCTCTCTGTCTCTCTCTCTCTCTCTCTCTCTCTCTCTCTCTCTCCCTCTCACTTTCTCTCTCTCTCTCTCTCTCTCTCTCTCTCCCTCTCACTTTCTCTCTCTTTCTCTCTCTCATTCTGTCTCTGTTTTATTTATTATTGTTCCCTTCTTCCCTCCCCTCTCTCAGTTGCATCTTCTATAGTTCCCTCCTTCCCTTTCTTTCACAGCTTCGTGTTTCATTGCCCCCTTCTCTCCTCTCTCTTAATTTCATCTTTTATTGCCCCATTCTCTCCTTTCTCTTAATTTCATCTTTCATTGCCCTCTTCTCTCCTCTCTCTTAATTTCATCTTTCATTGCCCCCTTCTCTTCCCTCTCTTAATTTCATCTTTCATTGCCCCCTTCTCTCCTTTCTCTTAATTTCATCTTTCATTGCCCCCTTCCCTCCTTTCTCTTAATTTCATCTTTCTTTGCCCCCTTCTCTCCTTTCTCTTAATTTCATCTTTCATTGCCCCCTTCTCTCCCCTCTCTTAATTTCGTCTTTTATTGCCCCCTTCTCTCCTCTCTCTCAATTTCATCTTTCATTGCCCTCTTCTCTCTCTTAATTTCATCTTTCTTTGCCCCCTTCTCTCCTTTCTCCTAATTTCATCTTTCATTGCCCCCTTCTTTTCTTTCTCTTAATTTCATCTTTCATTGCTCCCTATTTCCCTAACTTCCCCTTTTCTCCCCCTCTCCCTGTATACAACTGCTGTATGAAAGATGGGAGTTTAGAAGGGCCGAATGTAAGACAGGCCTGCGTGCCTAATTTGTGACCCTTTGAAAATAAAGTTCCTTCGTTCGTTCTCTAATTCATCTTCTATAGCTTCCTTCTTGTCTCTCTCTTTTTAATTTTCCACTGCTCCCTCCTCTCACTCCACCCTCTCTCTCTCTCTCTCTTTCTTTCTCTCTCTCTCCATCTCTCTCTCTCTCTCTCTCTCTCTCTCTCTCTCTCTCTCTCTCTCTTGCAATTTACATAAACGATCTGCCCATCAAGTCTGTCGTCGTCGTGCGATTTATTCGCTGATGACTGTACCATCTATTCAAATGCTCGAACGTGTAATATACTAGAGTTGTCTTTGCAACAAGAATTAAACAATGTAGTTAGTTGGAGCTACGCAAACCGCATGCAAATCAACATAATTAAGACAAAATCTATGTTAATAACAACAAGACAAAAACTGTGCACTTTAAACTCTCATAGAACCCTTCAACTCTACCTAGGTAACACACCAGTAGAAAGTGTAACTGAGCACAAAACTTTAGGCCTGATTATCGATGGAAATCTTACCTTCAACTCCCATGTGCAAACACTTGTTAAGCAAACTGCTACAAAGGTCTACCAACTAGCAAAAATTAAAATTAAATTAAAAACTTTCTGGATGAAAACTCTAGGAAATTATTCTATACTTCTCATATTCAGACCCACATAGACTATTGCTCCACAATATGGGATGGATGTGCAAATTCAGTCATCAAACGACTGAAAGCACTCCACAGAAGAGCTGTTCGTTTAATAGCTAATAATCAGGGAAGTGACTGTTCACACCTATATACAGAACTTATGTTATTGCCGCTCCAGGAACGCCTACTATTCAATAAAGCTAAACTTATTCATAAAATCATATCTAAAAATGCTCCATGTTACCTTTGGCCATTATTTAAATACAATGGAAGACATAGCAAACGCCTTAACATATTGCATATCTCTAAACCTAGAATAGACCTATATAAAACAAGCTTAGCGTACTCTGCAGCTCAGCTGTGGAATAATCTTCCACCGGGAATAAAAAATATCAATAACCCCTATAGATACAATCGGAAACTATTCGAATATTATCTCACTACAGACTATATGCCCCCTTAAAAGATTATATCCTGTTAAGGCTATGATGTATTTCCATGCGATGTCTTAATATTTTTTTTTTTTTAAACAAAAGGTTATTATTATTGTTTAAAACTGAAGATGCCAGTCGAATGCATTCCAATGTTTGTAACTAATATTTAATTGGTTTTGATGATGTTTATATTATGCAACCTGTCAGACTTTCAACATTTTTGGAATAGGCTTATTTGTATACTCTTTAAAACGTTCAAGTAATGTCAGTATCAATTAGAACACATTCCAGCATGTGTAATTAAGATTTAGATATTGTACACTTTTTTACCCTTTCTTTTTTTTTCCTTTTCTATTTTCCTTAAACCTTTAATTTTGCATTTCTCTTTTATTATTATTATTATTAATATTATTGTTAATATTATTAACTATGAAATGATGTACAAATGAAACATTGTTTTAAAGGAGCGGAGTGAAAGGGCAGAATGTTAGACGGGCCTGCGTGCCCAATTCTTTACCCTTCGAAAATAAAGTTTGTTCGTTCGTTCGTTCGTTCGTTCGTTCTCTCTCTCTCTCTCTCTCTCTCTCTCTCTCTCTCTCTCTCTCTCTCTCTGTTTCGTCTTCCGCTGCTTCTCGCTCCATGCTATAATTTGGAAGACTTTTTTTTTTAAAAATTTGGACGGGTTTTGCTAGTCACACTCACCATCGCCATGGGCTGTGAGTCCCACGCCTCCTCATAGCGCAGTATAACACTGTCATCTGAAAAGATGGAAAGGTGCCAGTGATCATCAACAGATAATGTGAAAAACACGGAGGCATATCTCTACTTAGTGTTCCTGGTAAAAGAGACTTGGCTGTCTGACAGAACCACAACTGGATCAGGTCCAGTGATGCTTCAAAGCAAGCCAAAGTACTCAAGACCTTTTTTTCCACACTCAGACAGATGAGTGAAAAAGCCCTTGAATGATGTGGCCCTGATACCTCAGAGGCACATCTTTAATCCAGCTTACTTGTCTGGAAGGATGAGCTTGAGAATAGAAAAACGACCATCAGTATCTCCAAAACTAAAACCATGGTGATCTCAAGAGAGGAGAAATAACAGATCAGGATTGGACAACATGCAGTGGAGCAGGTCAGACCAGTTCCAATACCTTGGAGTTGTAATGGGCTGAAATGGAGGCATTAATACAGAGCTGGCTGCTTGAAAAGCAGCTGCTGGGAGACTTTTCTGGGCCTAAAACTGAGGGTTTCTTAGCAAAAGAGACTGACCAGTCCTAAACTATGGGTGTAATCCATGGGCTATGACAAGAGCTCATAGAAGCCAGCTTCAGGTTGACACTCAGTTACAGGTCTCTGTAATAATATAGCTGAGAAAGGTGGTCCAGATGACAAACAATGGACAAAGTACATCAAGATCTCCCAGGCCTTACAAACTTTAGTAGATTAGTTAAGATGGTTTGGACATTTATGCAGAATGGGAGAAAATCGGCCACCATGGCAGGCATGGGAGGCTAAAAACCTGGGAACCAGACCTCTAGGGCGACCCAGGGTCTGCTGGAAAGACAATATCTGACATAGACAAGTCTGGCAATTTCTCTGGCAAACCTCTACACCCACTCTACAATTAAGATTTAGATATTGTACACTTTTTTACCCTTTCTTTTTTTTCCTTTTCTATATTTCTTAAACCTTTAATTTTGCATTCCTCTTTTATTATTATTATTATTAATATTATTGTTAATATTATTAACTATGAAATGATGTACAAATGAAACATTGTTTGAAAGGAGCGGAGTGGAAGGGCAGAATGTTAGACGGGCCTGCGTGCCCAATTCGTTACCCTTCGAAAATAAAGTTTGTTCGTTCGTTCGTTCGTTCTCTCTCTCTCTCTCTCTCTCTCTCTCTCTCTCTCTCTCTCTCTCTCTCTCTCTCTCTCTCTGTTTCGTCTTCCGCTGCTTCTCGCTCAGTCACTTTCTCCCATTTTCATTTCCCACTGGTCCCTATCTGTCTCGCCGATCTCTAGTTTATCGACCATTGAACGGTTCATTTGGTTGCTCGTTGTTCTAATAGCAGTACCGGCCCTTTGATAGATCGCCATGTATAGTTAACATGCTGCCTTCACCCAGCTCTTTCACGGCGGACTGGCTGAGATTCTCTGTCGCTGTCTTTTGTGGTGATGGTGGTGGTGGTTGTTGTGGAGGTGGCTGCCATTCTCTGCAACTGTTTCTGGTAGTTGTTGTTGTGGTGATGGGGTTGGAACCAACTCTCTGCAGCTGTTCCTGGTTGTGACTGGGTTTGTGGCAACTCTCTGCAGATGTTTCTGGTTGTGACTGGGTTTGTGGCAACTCTCTGCAGCTGTTTCTGGTTGTGACTGGGTTTGTGGCAACTCTCTGCAGCTGTTCCTGGTTGTGACTGGGTTTGTGGCAACTCTCTGCAGATGTTTCTGGTTGTGACTGGGTTTGTGGCAACTCTCTGCAGCTGTTCCTGGTTGTGACTGGGTTTGTGGCAACTCTCTGCAGATGTTTCTGGTTGTGACTGGGTTTGTGGCAACTCTCTGCAGCTGTTTCTGGTTGTGACTGGGTTTGTGGCAACTCTCTGCAGCTGTTCCTGGTTGTGACTGGGTTTGTGGCAACTCTCTGCAGATGTTTCTGGTTGTGACTGGGTTTGTGGCAACTCTCTGCAGCTGTTTCTGGTTGTGCCTGGGTTTGTGGCAACTCTCTGCAGCTGTTCCTGGTTGTGACTGGGTTTGTGGCAATTCTCTGCAGCTGTTTCTGGTTGTGACTGGGTTTGTGGCAATTCTCTGCAGCTGTTTCTGGTTGTGACTGGGTTTGTGGCAACTCTCTGCGGCTGTTTCTGGTGGTTGTCTTAGGTGTTGTGTTGGCTTGATAAAGAGTATCTGCCGCTGTCTCTCGTGTTTTGTTTTAATGAAGAT